AAACAAAGGAGAAAAAGGGTCCTCGATACTGCGCGCCCCCACCACACACACTTGAGCAACAATTTCACGATCATCTGTACTTCCAAAAGTGAGTGACTCACCCAAACGCATGTTTTCATCTCCCTCTCTCTACTCTTGTACAAAAAAAAGGAAGTTCAGATGTAACAAAGACATACCACGCTCATCGTCCACCACTAGGCCTCTCTCTGGCTCTCCCCCCCCCCCCCACCTCCCCTCCCTCCTCCTCATCCTCCTCCTCTCTCTCTCTCCCTCTCTCTCTCTCTCTCTCTCTCTCTCTCTCTCTCTCTCTCTCTCTCCCCATCTTTTCTCTGTTTTTTTTTTAATTTTGTTCTCAGTTTTCGAACCCTAACAAAAAAAAGGGCAGAGAAGGAGAGAGAGATCGGGGAGAAGGGAGGGGAGAGGCGGGGGGGGCTAGCATCCCTCCCCCACACCTCCTCTCCCTCCTCGTCTCTCTCTCTCTCTATATATATATTCCATAACCATCAACAATGAATCTACAACTAAGGAATAATCAAGGGGCTACCTCGATACTTCCCACCCCTTTCGGGAGATTTCCTGCCGCTGTCATGGAAGGTGCTATACCAAGCTTTCCTCTTGGACACTATGTTTCATTTGCTCATGCGCATATGTCAAACCGCCAGGCATCTGTCTCTCATCGTGTAGATTGGCGTGCACACCTGGAGTGGAATACTAACTTGTTTTCTGCAGGAGGTTGACGCAAGAAACAACTCTGTCTTCTTAACAGTGTTGTGCAGACAGAGCGATTTGAGTTGCAACTGCGAGGTGTTGATCAACAACCCCTTGAACCAGGTATAGACCCCCTCACTGTTCGAGGGGTGATTTATGCAATTGTTCATTTGCCTTCAGGATGTTTTTATGTTAGACATACGATGCATTCTGCACGTCAATGACTGCAAGAGCATTGGCATACACGACACTCTTCTGCTGCTTTTCACCACCTCCATCTCTACCGTGCAATGTGTGGGCAACCAACATTCAACTTTGCTGCTTGACCCTTGGAATGCATCGATCCTACCCTTTATCATACGTCTGAAGGTCTTGTTGATCATGCCCTCTTTTGGGGGGCTGCTGCACCCCACGAGGGTTTCTGGGTTCGTAAACTTCGAACTCTTCACCCAGTTGGTTTCAATGCAGTCCTTCCAATGGTTAGACTGCCGGCTTCACGACGACACTTCCGCCCTCATCGTTGAACAGAAATGGACCCCCGTCCCTTTGCTCCTCAACCCCCTCTACCTCCTCATGCCTCAGCTCCTCCTGTTTCCCTCCCTACCACATTTATTGCTGCTCCATCCGTTCCTGCATCGGGTGATCCTTCTCACATAGCACCCCTTTTACCAACACCCGTTGGCTCTTATGCTGCACCCCCTTTTATCTACACCCGCTCACTGTTTGCCTCTCTTGTCAACACCCCCTCACTGCTTACCTCTCTTGCCAACACCTTTGGTTAGGTCCTTTGCTGTTGATTTTCGTCCGGGTCCCCAACTTATGATTTGTACCTCACTGCATCGTCTTCTCACTGAAGCTGCTTCGGGTAATTGGTGTCGTGTCAAGGCTGATATTGAGCAAGCAGCACCAGCATGGCGGGTACGACTTTTGCAATGGCTTTACAATAATGTCTTCAATGCAGGCATGACAGCAGACATTTGAGAACTGGAATGCCTCATCCGAAAATCGCAGCATACCCGCCAACGTTACTTAACACAACCTCGTGACTCATTTACTGACCACATCAAGGTCGTACATGCACATGAGTTAACTCGTACTACAAACTTGCGCCATGTGTTGCAATTGCCGGATGTAGTTACATTGCACCCCGATCCTCAAGCAGCCATACATGTTCGTGTATGTGACAAACTGATGCCACCCACGCGTCAGTTTTGTAACTTCACTGATGTGGCCTTGAGTGTTACTCTTGGCATGATCTTACCCGACTCCTCTGATTGCGAACCCGACTCCTCTGATTGCGAATGTCGCAGAGCCTTTCCACATTGTTCTGATCTTGTGGATGACCATTGTGTCTGTTGACTACAATATCATCTCCGATGATAGCCTTTGCAAACTTTTTCAAGAAGGCTCGAAGTATCGACTGAACAGGGAAACTGTCGATGTGCTCCAGGCACTGGCAATTGGAGTAGATGAGTACATTGCCAATTACAAAAGGTTGTTGGGCAGACATTCTCAATCTGTTTTTTTCTCGTCTCTTTCTCAGAAGCTGAACAACCAGCGTTCTGCAATCCTTGCGCATTGTCAATCCAATGCATCTTCGTTCTCCAATCATGCGAGCCAGCCACGTTCACTACGTTCTACACATGAAGGGTGACTTGGCGGAGTTCCTTATATAGAGGAGCTGCTCCTACTGCTTTCGCAGTAGGAGCTAGCCCAGTCGGTATAACCTCAAGCTTACATGTCGCAGACGCAAACATCGAACCCGACACACCGAGATTGGGCTAGCTCCTTTTGTCGGAATAGCCCGATCTCGGAGCAGTATGGCGTGGCCAACGATGATCGCACGACCGACGCGATCTGAAAGCAGCCGTGCCGTAGATCTGCATGACCCTGCGCAAGGATGACACACATAAATCGAGAAATGGGCCCATTTTTTTCCGATCCCGATAGGGATCGAACTCGGGTCCGTATTTCAACAATTTGTGGGTGAGCCCACGAACGTGACAAGACCGTTGGCATAAGCCAACGAGAATTAGAAGAGAAAAAAAAACAAAAGAAAACAAAAAAAAATAGAAAAACAAAATCCGAACTATAGACAAAGCGCCACTAGGCGCCATAAGAAGTGACTGGGGCACATCAGCCCCAGTGCACTAGACAGTCACCCGTGAAAACAGACTACCGTTTTTCTATAATGACGTAAGCGTCGTAAGGTTTGTTTTTTTTCTTTTCTTCTT